CGTAGCTTACACATTTTCTGTGAAGAACATATTTGTTACCTGATCTGTGTCATTATGTGTTTGTTGGTGGACATTTACAAATCCTAGGTGCGCGATGTAATGATGACAGTTTACATTGAAGAGTAAATACTTAGTCTATCCTTGTTAGTCTTGCTGAAATCACAATATTCATGAAGGTAACGTAGATTACAATTTATGTAACGTAGATTACAATTTATGTAACGTAGATTACTATAATCATATCAGAGCAATTTCTGATGTTGTATTTAACTGTAAGCGTTAGTTTGACTATCGAGGTACAAAGTATTTCCAGAATGTATGAACAAAAATATCATCCATGTTATTTAAACATCACGATGTAGTTTAATTTATTGAATATTCTTAATTCAAATTAAAAATCAGGAAGATTTTCCTTGATATTATTAGATTTTGTTTTTTTAAAAGGTTTTCACTATAAAACTTCTTTATGTTTCTTAAGAAGACAATAACAAGAAATGATTACATTACTGAATCATTGTTACAAGTCTGGAAGCTCCATTGTAAATTTGTTTGTTTGTTTGTATAGTATTATGTAATCTACGTGACTGAATAAGTATTTGCTATCTTGCAAAAATGTATTACTTTATTGTTTAGATTTTCTGACATGTTATTCTTTGTTGATGAACGTATAGATACATACGATCATAGGTTGACTTTGTTTTCCTGAATATTAAGGCATGTAGAAATCATTAACAGGTTTTGTTGAAAACAACCGTCTAAAAATCACTTTATTGTTTAAAGGTCAGCTCCATCATTGTTAAACAAGATTGGCATACCTTACTTGTGAACAATTAATAACGTGATGGTTTTCTACAAAGTCATAATGATAAACAGGAAAACAGAATTGCAATAACTTAACATTTACATTATTTTATAGACATATGGTGGTCACGTAGATGACATCCTGCTTTATGGGTTAGTGGCATAAATAGTTAATAACTTTGTTATTGGCAAAGCTTGAGTGCCAAAATTTTATATACTTGTTTTTTAATGTTCGTTCTACGAATAAAATATCATTTCATGGTGAAAGCTGAGACTTTATTTTTTCAAGTTTCCAAACTGTAATTGTACATTCTTCGTGAGAATGGGTGGTGTACACAGGCGAAAGAAACAGGTTTTAAAAACAAAATGATTATTTGAGGAGTAAACTTCAATTTCAAAGGAAACGAAATGCAATTTTGAGACAGAAATTACACCAATCTCTGAAGACTAACAAACTGTCTGAAATACCAAGATCCAGAAGTTAAAATATACATCGAACAGGGTCCGTGAAAACTGTAAAGAAAACCATGGATTTCACCATGCTCTCTTGGAGGAACTAAAGACCAGCTACAAGAAAGGAAACGGAAAGATGAAGAAATCTTTATCACCAGTTTTGTCTAGAAACATCTTAAGGATGTACAAGTTCCGTGCAAAGGCAATTAGTATTTATGGAGAAAGGAGATCCTTAATTCATTCACAAAGGTTACAACATGAGGTACATGACTATTACAAGCGCTCAGACAACAGTCTTATTGTTCCAGTGCAGAAGCAAACAGTCACAAATAAACAAAGTTAAGAAACAAAAGCATCTACTCTGTGATTCTATACTGAACTTAGAAAGATAAAACTGAGCATCCCAAGGAGATACACATCTTTCAGCAGATGAAGGCCTTTTTGGATAAAACCACCCACTAATGTGTAAGATGCATGAAAACACCTACTTGTAAAGAAACTGACGCGTTTGGAGTAATGAAGACATCTCGCCCAACATAGCTCTAACAAACATATTTTTTGTGACGTGATGGAAAAAGCTTGTATGTATGGAGAGTGTTCATCTTGTCAAGAAGTCATAGTTCCCATAAAGAATCGAGATATTAATGACATGGATTCAGTGGAACACAAAGTAAATGGTGAGATCACTAAAGCACGGTGGTGAGATTGAAAGAAAAGAATTGGAAGAGGGTACAAATGCAGATTTGAGGGACAATCTTTATCACACTATGACCCGCTACTAGATACATTCTATTAACATTGCCAGTATGGATTGTGTGGTCGAGACTCGATTATCTACAGACCGCCGTCATATAGCTGAAATATTGCGGCGATAAACAACAAACGAACAAAACATAAGAGCACTGATCCTCACACATTTTGCACAGCATCTGATTCCCTAAACCATGGTTCGCAGACAATATGGACATATATGAAACCAGTTCTGGAAGAGATGAAAGGAACAAATCCACAAGTTGAGACAATTCACTTCTTTAGCTTCAGAAGGAAACTATTTTTTGCTCAGGACTACAACTTTTCAAAATGGATTTACTTCAGCTGCCTAGAATTGCAATGAATCAGGACATGGAAAAGGCTTTCCGGACCCTGTTTCTGGCTCCATTTAGGAGAAAACCTACTGTGTTTTGAAATTTGATGTAGTCCTACTGTAGAGTAGATACCTCTTTATTTTAGTTTTGAACCGAGCGCTCTTCTGAAGGACTTTCAAATCCCCTCCTGCCAAATTTTAACGACGGTGGTTGACGGAGATGGCAATGAATATTGATCACAAAAAGGTTTGTAAACAACATGTTGTCATGAATAAAGTTTTTTCAAATTTATAATGTTATATTTTACTTTCATTGTCGGTTGTTTCAATGAGGAAATAGCTAAAATTGCTCAGATTCTGGTCACCACAGAACATTTCTCTAACAGTTTCATAAACATTTCATTTGTATGCAAAAGCTATCTTTTAATGTCATCATAGAAGCAGTCAGGGTTGCGGCCTAGAACGCCCCAAACATCCGATATCAAACTACCGTATTATATCTAGAGCCCTTGACTTTGGGTGTATTAGAGACCTGGCTGGTATTAGAGACCCAACGTGTATAAGAGGAAATAAAGATTCGTTTTACAGTTTATATGGAGGTGATCGATCGGCAGCCATTTTTTATGAATCGATATGTAGGCTTTCTATGTATTCATGCACACGTTTGTTTTTGTGTGTGAAAAGGCTTAATATATTTGAAAGGGGTTTCAGTAGCAAAAAGGAAACCTCTTTTTAACCAATCAGAAACAAGCATTCATCAATGTCATGGTAGAATAAACGTTCAGCAGTTTTGTTGTGCATGGCTATGACATGACCAAGGCACAGACCTTTTTCAGTGAATTTTTTTACCCTTTCTAAAGTTTTAACAAAGCTGACCAAGCTTTGGCTTTGAAGAAATGTCATCATGTTCCAGGGACGATGAAAATACACCAAGTGCTTACATCTTGCCGTCAAACTATTTCCTACTGGTATATCAGTTGTACTTGTACCTCAGCTGTATGCAAGAGACATGACTTAAAGCAGTTGTTCTTTGCATCTGTAAAGTATGGAAAGGTTGCTGAGACAAGAACACCAAAAACCCAGAGAAAGGAATACATGTCTTCAAGTGATGATGGTATATCTCCGAGATCAAGCAAAGGTGACGTGAAAAACAAAAGTATTGACTCATTTCACCCACAAAGTATCAGCAATGAACAGAGGTTCAACTTTGGCAAAACTTGCTTCTTTGGGTTCTCAAGTTGAGAAAATTTATACTTACCACATCACATCCCTTAACAATGTTGACATATTAAACACGGGCTGATGACAGACAGACAATTTATTTCAATAACAGGCCGCCGGTCCATAATACATGATGATCACGTATGCTAGAGTAAAATACATACATTAATGACAAAATGTATTTGGTATATCTTAATTTCTACCGACCCGTGAAGATTCCTGGGTAGAATAGCTCTTCAGCAACCCATGCTTGCCGTAAAAGGTGACTATGCTTGTCGTAAATGGCGACTAACGGGATCGGGTGGTCAGGCTCGCTGACTTGGTTGATGCATGTCATCGATCCCAAGTGCGTGGATTGATGTTCATGATACCAATCACTGGATTGTCTGGTCCAGACTCGATTATTTACAGACCGCCGTAATATAGCTGGAATGTTGCTGAGTGCGGCGTTTTTAGGCCCATGGGCTAAATATGTGCAGATATTTGGATATTTGCTTGGGGGGGGGGGGGGGGGGGGGGTAAATACGTGCAGTCCCGGTATTAGGACTCAAACTCTCGACCTTGCATATTCTCTACCTGAAGCCCCTGATAACCAACATCTGGTTAACCAGATGGTTTGTATATATTTTATATGATTATGGGTAATAAATAGAATAATCCTCTCACTACTCGTGATTACGGAAACTATAAATATGACGGTGGCCTGTATATAATCGAATCTGGACAAGACAATCTGAAGAGTGATTGGTATTGTGAATAACGATCCACGTCGTCGGGAACCGATGACACGATCCATGCAACATGTCTACAAGATTCCCGTGAAGAATCCGGGTTAGAATAGGCTTGTAACGGGCGGCTAACGGGATCGGGTGGTCCGACTCGCTGACTTAGTTGGTTGGTTGGTTGGTTTGTTGTTTAACGCCGCGCTCAGCAATATTCCAGCTATATGACGGCGGTCTGTAAATAATCGAGTCGTAAATAATAATTATTACACAAAATATGATGCTGAGGACTAAACAAAACAGGCCAGCTCTAAATCGAGGATAGATTTGTGTTTTACTATGTGCTGTTTACTCTTCATGACATTAGCTCATGCTTGTGTAATCTGAGTGGATTTCGTTGTGCAAGTGACACCTTCCTGGACGCAGCTTTACCTTACGAAAACTCACAGTGTGTATCAAAATGTGCAGCAAACCGAACCGAAATCCTATCAAATAATACTGATGTAATTGATAATAGGTCTACAACCCCGTACTGCAAAAACACAAAACATCATCAACTTACAAAAATATCCATTACAAAAATATCCATTACATATAGGTCATCATTTACATTGGATGATCACTTACGTCAGCAAGTGCTGACAAATACAGATATAGCAGTACAAAGTACGGGTAGTGTCAGCTTTATATCTGTATGCGGTTTAGCATAAAAAGTGTCATCACATAACACCGGCCTTATTGATGACCGTCGCTACAATAGAGGAAACAGCATACAGCAGTCTTAAATTTGGGGGTTGACAAAGGAGGCCCACTGGACAAAGTCATAGCTTAAGACGAATACGTATTTGAGTAGCAAGAGACCCACGGTGGAGTAAACGAGAATAACTACTTTGAGTTAGTGAGTTGTTTTGGAATTATTTCATTGACATTAACAACGTGGACAGTCATACTGGGCTCCACATAGTGTACTCGTGTGGGATTCGTACCCGTACCGGCGTGACGATCCCATGCCTCATCCATGATGCTGCCTCCCTCCAACACCCCCCCCCCCCCCATGCTCAATACGTGTCTAATGTAAACGGAACCTGTACTGTAATATATATTTTATTTATTTTGTCAGATATTGCCAAGGAAAATGACCGACCCCGATGGTGAAAATGAAAAGATGATACAGTGGGCACGGAATATGCCTCTGCAAAACCTTATTGACAAAGTCTGTGAAACAGGTGCCGACACCACCAAGGAACAGTTTGAACGTATCCAACAGTATGTCATTGGTAAGACAAAATTGGTTCTCAGTTGTTTTGTAATGGGTTTTGTTTGTTTGTTTGCTGTTTAACGCCGCACTCGGCACTCGGCAATATTCCAGCTATATGGCGGCGGTCTGTAAATAATCGAGTCTGGACCATACAATTCAGTGACTGACATCATGAGCATCGATCCACACAACTGGGATACGATGACATGCATCAACCAAGTCAGCGAGCCTGACCACCCGATCCCGTTAGTCGCCTCTTACTACAAGCATAACCACATTTTACGGATCTCCACGGGTATAATATGTTTTTCTTCTTCCGTAATTTCTATTTTACAACATTCTAAAGCACCATTAAATTTTTCAAGCATTTGCCCCTGCATACCTCATGTTTGTGTGCTGATCTTGAGTTAACTTATTTAGTCCAATCCAGTTTCTACCCTTGCCCAACGTGGATCGATGCTCATGCTGTCAATCACTGGATTCTCTGGCCCAGAATCGATTATTAATAATATATAATATTGCTGAGTGCGACGTTAAACAACAAACAAACAAACAAACAACCAAAATATGATATTACAGGAATATTGTACAACTGTCTTGTAAAACGATAACAGAACGAACACAATGCCACATCGAGGGCATTTTAGCTAGCAAACGTTTGCCACGATTTAACTGTGGCTTTTACCTGAGATCGAACATGTCTATATTTTTTAGATTATTTAGGGTAATATTTTTTTTTAAAAACACACATTTGAATAATATCTCATTGAATAGAAGGGGGCACGTCTAAGGCGCCGCAATTCGCTGTGCAGAGTTGCGTCCCTTGTGCACGCCAGAAACCTATGATTGTGGGTCCGAATCCCGGTTCGCCCCGATTATGTTTCTAGGTTTGTCAGCATCATACCCGTGCTCGTGGGTTTCGCCGAAGTGGTAAACGTCTGAGACCTGAATCACTTCGGGCTTTCCTCCCAAATTAAGCTGACACGCCGCGATATAACTGGAATACTGTTAAAAGCGGCGTTAAAAAACCCAGCTCACACACTCACTCACTCATTGTCCAGTAACAACTTTGATGTGTTCACAGGGGATCATGGCCGCCCTGCTGATGAAGTGACCCAATATACTAAGCCCCTTCATTTCTTCGCGTACCTCATGGAGAAGAAGTTAATCTCCTTCACAAACCTGGCTCTTTTTCAAGCAATCTTCATACGAATTGGAAGACAGGATCTTTGTGATATTGTTTTAGAATTTGCCCGAGAACATTCAAATGACGCCCTGTATCTTGAAGTTCACGACACTGATCAAGGTAGATTGACTAAGCCTCTTTCTGAACTGTATGATTGTAAAGCCGATATAAGGTGTGTTAAGACCAACACCAATGGTTTGCAGGCATATCGAATAACACGAGGAATCCTGTAAATGTCAAAACGATACATATACTGTTTTATATAGGACTTAGGTCCGGAACCATGTGTGACCAGAGTTATGTCTGCAGAACCTTCATCAGATTACGAGCATATAACCTACCTAGAGTATGTATGTATCTATCCGAGGTAGAATAGGTCTTCAGCAACCCATGCTTGCCGTAAAAGGCGACTATGCTTGTCGTAAAAGGCGACTAATGGGATCGGATGGTCAGGATTAGTATGTCATCGTATCCCAATTGCGTTGATCATGCTAATGATTGTGTGTCATTTTAAGAAGGGGTGTGTCAGTGTGTGTGTGTCTGTATGTGTGTGTCTGTGTGTGTGTGTGTGTGTGTGTGTGTGTGTGTGTGTGTGTGTGTGTGTGTGTGTTTTGGCATGAATGTTTATGTCGTGTTTGTGAGTGTTCAATGTTTATTTGTTTGTGTTTTAATATACATGTGCGTGCGTGCATGCGTGCGTGCGTGCTTGTGTATGTATGTATGTATGCATGCAGTTATGGATGGGTGGATGCAGTTATATATGTATGTGAATGTATTTATATGTATGCAAACATAAGTAATTATATGTCTCCAGTATATATGCTTTTGAATGTATGTGTTTAATTGAGAATTTAATTGTGCGAGTTAAAAGGATAGAGGTCAATATACAACCTATGTAGTGGTCTGTCGACAGTTTTTCTTTAGATCTTTAGATTGACCTGACCCAATTATGTCCATATTGCAGTAGATGTTAACTTGATTAATTATGCCATGTTTATGAGAGTAATACAATCCCACCGACATGTGTGTTTCAGGAGGTAATACGCAGTTCAATGTACACGTGCGGGACACCCTCCGTGAAACAGGAGACGTGGAAATACTTGTTAGGAGCTTGGCCAATTGTCTTGATATTCCTCCTGAATATATCCGAGTTGTGGGCACCGAGGCAACAAACAGCTTCAAGTTAACGCTGTTCATTCCAGCCAAGTACAAGGGTAGCCTATTGGACATGGACAAGCTCAACGGTCTCATCAAGTACAACATTGACGAAGTGGAAGTGGATGGGAAGACTATCAAGCTTAGCCTAGAAGATGAAAATTAGAATAAATACAGCAATATGCACTTTATGGTAAGGCCAAACTAAATGCAAGCCTTCCTACATGTTTGCGGGTACATTGCACTGTTGTTTTTGTCGAGTGAAGAGGTGAACTAAAAGGAACCGTCTATTTTTATTTAATAAAGTTTTGGGCAGGATGTCAGACACTGGTGATATTGTGAATCATGTTTTAGAATGGACTTCTTCGTCTGTGTTTTCTATTTAATTTTCCGTTGCGTTTTTCATAGTACTTTCTATACAATTTCTTTAACTGTGGGAAACAGTGTAGCTTCTGGTGTGTGATCAGGTGGAGAGGAAGGATGCAGTGATCTATCAAATAGTTTGTTATATTTATCATTATGTGATATATATATATATAGTGTAACGCCCAATACCTGCATTGTTATTTGTGAACAGAGCATTATTTCTTATTGTGACAAAATGGACAAATAGCATATGAACATTTAACTTTTAATCATCTCGGTCTCCTGTAGCTCCTTATGGAGTGGCCCCTCTGTTTTGCAGATATTGTCTTCCATGTTTATTGTAATAAGGATAGGAGACTTAAATAAACAATATGTCTGTCTTTTAACTGAAGGAAGACGAATGATTGGTCCTACAAAAGATCACTACCTTGGGCCTTGACATGAAATCATTTCCGAGGAATGTTAAACAGTTTTGTTGGTTTTGCCTTAATGGTCAGTCACCATTTTGGTCTTCACGGGCTCCCACTTATATTAGATGTATTATGTCACTCTATTTTATATTGGATGTATGTCACTTCTATCTATATGTGTTTTGTGCCCACAGTATTCTGTTTTTCACATATGTTACTTTAGATTTGATCTGTTTTGTTAAAAACTGTGTACTTGGAGCTGGAAATATAGTCTTCCGAGATCTGCTCCCTGTAAACACACTATGTGACGAAACACACATATTTCCCCCTGCCTCCACCGCAGCTTAATTTCAAGCCATGTACTCAGTAACTCAGGTTTTATATTTTAAAGTCAAAGGTCACAATATTGTTTAAATAAACATATTTGTTGTTATCTATGCATGTGAACATATTTCGAAAAGTTAATCTCTAATCATGACAAAATAATGACGTCTTTTATGGTCCGCATTCTTTTTTCAAATTTTTATTACGTACACAAAGGTTGTCAATGTCATCATCTACCAATTACCTGCATGGTAGTTTAGTTGTGGTTGTGGACCTACCATTTAATTAATTTTTATGCTGTTTTTAAAAAAAATCTATCATAAACTCTCAAAGAAAAAGAAAATAAAGTGTAATCAGCAAAATAATATCGCTTTTGTTTATGTACATGCAGGTAGCAGAATTGAAATTGTGTCTGCGTTCTGCACTGAACGCCCTTGATAAGCATGGCAGTGTGATGATGTAGATATGATATCACATCTGTTTGTGGCGATTACACACATATACCTTACGCTGAGGAACACGCCATTAGCTGACGGAGTAATCACGTCTCTGTGTATCTGTAGTCCCGCAACAATGTCCATTCCCAACTCATTGTGGGATAGTTAAGCCTAACGAGATAGGTATAGCGTATGTTAAAATCGGTAATGGGAACATTTAAAATGTCTGACATAGGTAGCTGAGAAGAATCGAGTAATAAAAGCACATTGTTCTTTCAAGATTTGTAGAGTGACACTTGTGGATGTGCAAATGACAACATTTACGATACAATTAGAGGGGGTTCATGTGGTGCTATATATAATCACAGATATGCGAAATTATATCATTATTTCTTTCACATCTCGGAATGCCGAGATACGTCTTTGTCTCTAATCGTAAATCTTTTGATAAGCTGCATAGAAAATTCAAACGCTCCTTTCAGTTAAACGTCAGCAGCGACTGTTGCATAAATACAAAGATAGTAATAGCAGAGATTTTTGGAAACTTATTGGTAAGATTGGCTTAGCTTCCGATCGGGATTCTGTCATTCCATGGGAGATAATCCAGGGAGACACGGTTGTCACCGATAAGCCGCGGGTTTTAGATGCATGGAAATGTGAGTAAACCTCGTTGTTTAACGCTGATCCAGTGGGTGTATTTGATGAATCTTTCTATGATCAGATCAAGGACGAGTTAAGCAACATGGTTGTTGACCCCCCTCAGGTAGATGTAGATGTAAACAGTCTGCAGGCCCCTATATCACGCGATGAGGTAGTACGCTCTGTTAGCCGCTCTAAGTGTGGTAAGGCCGTAGGCTGTGACCATATACCTGCAGAGGCACTTAAGAATGAGACTTGTGTTGACATTCTGCACCGGATATTTACTTACTGCTTGGAGAATAATGTTTGTCCAGATATTTGGCATGAAAGTATAATAACGCCTATTAAGAAACCGGGTAGTGACCCCAGAGATCCCCTTGGCTATCGTGGTATATCACTACTTTCCATTCCCTGTAAGATATATTCAGATATACTAAACTCTCGTTTCACAAGTTGGCTAGAAGATAATGACATATTGGCTGAGGAGCAAAATGGATTTCGAAGTAAGCGTAACACTATTGAGCACATATACACTTTGTTTTCAGTAATTAATAACAGGAAATCTTCAAAGTCCTCTACATTTGTCTGTTATATTGATGCCATGAAGGCCTTTGACCGTGTTGATCGAGACTGCTTATGGTACAAACTGATGAAGTTAGGAATTAATGGTAAATTTTATTCTGCTGTAAAGTCTTTATATGACAACAGTGTATCCCGTGTATCGGTAAATGATCGGCTTACTGAAGGGTTTGATATACAGAGCGGTGTCAGGCAGGGATGTGTCTTGTCCCCATCACTATTCTCAGTATTCATTAATGACCTGGCCCATGAGATAAACAATCTAAAATGCGGTGAAGACGTTGGTGGTAGTCTTCTCAGTCTTTTGATGTATGCTGATGACATAGCATTAATTGCGCCAAATGAGCATTCATTACAATCAATGCTTCACTGTGTTGCTGATTGGTGTAAGAGATGGCGAATTCAAGTTAATACCAGCAAAACTAAAGTAGTACATTACCGGCCACCATCTGTGAAACGAACATCATTTGAGTTTCAGTGTGGCAATGACAACATTGACATATGCTCATCATACAAATATCTTGGTTTATGGCTAGAAGAACACTTAAATTTGAATTCTACAGCCAAAGAAATCGCCAAATCCGCGAGTAGAGCTCTGGGTGTAATTATAAGTAAATTTAAACTATTTGGAGGAATGCCATATGACGTATATAATACGCTATTCAATAATCTTGTTCAACCAATTTTATCATATGGCTCGGTTATTTTTGGCAATCGAGAATTCAGTTGTATAAACGCAGTTCAAAATAAAGCTTGTCGTTTTTTTCTCGGGGTGGGTAAATATACTCCAAATTTAGCTGTCCGGGGCGAGATGGGTTGGCCTGCTCAGCTTACTAAACAGAAAATAGAAGTTTTCCGATTTTGGAGAAAGATAAACTCTGTTCCGCCATCTAGACTTGTTTCACAGATTCGAAATTGGTCTCTTACCTTCCGCAAATCATGGGATAAGACAGTTAACGCAATGTTTATATCACTATAACTTCCATCTATGGATTTGTTTAATTTCTCTATTAGTGAATTCCATTTAATCACACGCACTTTGAGATGCAAGGACGCCGATTGTTGGTCACGTGATTTATGGAATGACACTGGTCATGAACATGGGAATAAGTTGAGGACTTTCAGACTCTTTAAGAATACTCTAAATACGTCGACCTATGTCCGCTCTGTTTTAGACAGACAGCAACGTAGTACCTTGGCAAAACTACGCTGCAGTTCTCTCCCTTTGGAGGTTGAAGTTGGTCGCTACTCCCGTCCAAAGACACCACTACACCTCCGTTTATGTAGGTTATGTGACCGCCAGTGTGTCGAACACGAAGTACATTTCCTCACAGAATGTGAATTCTACTCTGATCTACGATATGACTATTCTCATTTGTTTTCTCCAATACATACTTGTCTAAGAAGTTTAACCCCAGAAGACCAATTTATATATGTTACGCAGAATGATAGTCTAGCTATTCCCCTAGCCGCAGTTGCTACTGCTATGTATAAAAGAAGAAAATTTCAACTTGCATTGTAAGTAGTGCACTTCTGATCCACAAGTATCTCACTAAACGATACTAGCATAATCTCTTCATATAAAACTGAGCTATTTTTTTATCTCTCGTGTCTCATAGGCCAACCGGCCGGGTGGTATATTATATATTTTGTCTTGCACTTTGAATGTATGTATTTTTATACTGCGTGACACGCAAATAAAATACTATCTTATCTTATCTTATGATATCACATCTGTTTGTGGCGATTACACACATATACCTTACACAGAGGAACACGCCATTAGCTGACGGAGTAATCACATCTCTGTGTATCTGTAGTCCCGCAACAATGTCCATTCCCAACTCATTGTGGGATAGTTAAGCCTAACGAGATAGGTATAGCGTATGTTAAAATCGGTAATGGGAACATTTAAAATGTCTGACATAGGTAGCTGAGAAGAATCGAGTAATAAAAGCACATTGTTCTTTCAAGATTTGTAGAGTGACACTTGTGGATGTGCAAATGACAACATTTACGATACACTATGAGGGGGTTCATGTGGTACTATACATAATCACAGATATGCGAAATTATATCATTATTTCTTTCACATCTCGGAATGCCTTGGAAGTTTCCAACGCCGCTCATTTTACATACATTTTGCTTGGGGCCTTTATGTTTATGGGAATTTATGACTCCAAGTGTGTCTTGAAGTTGTAAAATTGGTAGTTATGTTCCGTTGCCAGGCCACCGCCTGCCATATAAACCTTACGCGTGTAAGAAGCAACGCATCCGAAGATAGCTTCCCAACCACCAAATGAACATGGGTTGATATACATGACACATACGACGGAGAGAGAGAGAGAGAGAGAGAGAGAGAGAGAGAGAGAGAGATTGTTTTATATATACACATCTAGATCTATATAAGTACATCTGTAATTTAAAAAAACCAACATAATGTGTAAAATGGTCGCTCTAATAGGGCTTTGAGGGACATAAATAACATTTAAAAAATAAACTATTTTATATATATTTATATTTCACGAGTGTACATACATCTACCTACCTATATATATATATATACATACCTACGTACATAATACCTCCCCACCCCCCATCCACCCAACACACACACACACACACACACACACACACACACACACACACACACATCAACCTACCTAACTAACTACGAATCATACACAAACCTACAAACAAACATTGATCCATGTGTACATACATACAACCATGTTGACATACAATCCGGGAGACTGTACAAAGAGTATAGTATAGTATAGTATAGTATAGTATAGTATAGTATAGTATAGTGATACAATCCTACAGCCACACAACCGTGCATGCAACCAGTGCTTACATCGATGCATATATAACGCCATTCAGTCATACAGCCATATACTCGTACACATATAATACACACGCACACGCACACGCACACGCACACGCACACACACACACACACATATAGAATAGGTCTTCAGCAACCCATGCTTGCCGTAAAAGGTGACTTTGCTTGTCGTAAAAGGCGACTAACGGGACCGGGTGTCCAGACTTTGTTGATGCATGTCATCGATACCAATTGCGTGGATCGATGCTCATGATATCAATCACTGGATAATCTGGTCCAGACTCGATTATTTTGTCATTTTGCAGGAATAATGCTGAGAGCGGCGTTAAACAACAAACAAACAAATCAAACAAATTATTCAGCAGACCAATCAGCGTCAACGTTTAATTATCCGGTCCCGGAATAAATGTTTCCAAGTTATTCACTCCATACAATCAAAACATGACTGAAAGCACTTAATTTCACGTTCTACTTATACGTAGATAAAAGATAGGAAAGGTTCCGAAAAAGTACGTATCCAATCCTTTAACTCCATGCATCGTAATAAACATTTAATACGACCCGTGAAGATCCGGGGTAGAAAAGGTCTTCCTTCCGCAACCCATGCTTGTCTTAAGAGGCGATTAACGGGATCGGGTGGTCAGGCTCGCTGACTTGGTTGATGCATGTCATCGATCCCAAGTGTGTGGATCGATGCTTATGATGTCAATCACTGGATTGTCTGGTCCAGACTCAATTATTTACAGACCGCCATCGTTTAGCTTGAATATTGCTGAGTGCGGCGTTAAACAACAAACAAACAAAACATACACACACACCTGTATACCCATAAAGCTCTAACAAGGAGACGCCGAAGACCCGGGTTCGAATCCGAACATGGGTACATTGTTTGAAGCCCATTTCTGGTGTCCCCCGCCGTGATATTGCTGGAATATTGCTAAAAGCGGCGCAAAACCAAACTCACTCACTCTAACAAGGAGAACTAATCAAGACCTAATCAGCTTGAAGTTGCACCATGTATTTTGGATGATTAATTCACCTCAATAGCGCACCAAATGTCGTGATGACATTATTTTAAAGATGTTACTTTGTTCTGAAAAAATTACAAACACACAAGGCGATTAGCAATCATGTGCGACACTAATTTGATAACTGAAGCTTTTGCCTGCATTGTCTCTGTCACTGAGACTGATAGATATCGATTGTGTTGGTATAATCTATTCTTATCGTATCTCTAAATACGTCACTGGGCGTTGTGATAGATTACCTGTGATCTCTTTGTATACATGCACACCAAACAATATAGATGTGGTAGTTCGCCTACGCTCATTTAAATACATCCATTTGATTGTAATGGATCAGTACCAGCACTACCATGACACTGTGTATAAAGTGCTAGTAATGTACTTGACATTGAGTAGAGGAGGGGCGGTCGGGTAGCCTAGTGGTTAACGCGTTCGCTCGTCACACCGAAGACCCGGGTTCGATTCCCGGCATGGGCACAGAGTGTGAAGCCCATTTCACGTGTCCCCCGCCGTGATATTGCTGAAATATTGCTAAAAGCGGCGTTAAACCATACTCACTCACTCACTAGAGTAGAGGAGTAGAGGATAAGTAAGACAGTTATTATTAAGACAAAAATGAATGCAATTATTCTAAAAAAACACATAAAATGTTTATAACTGTACTGTGAAGTAGGAGGGTGCTTTTTTTCAATTACTCACTGGCCATCTTGAAGAAGGTGTAGACTAATGCTTAGTCTCTGAAAATATATAATTATATAGTACTTGAAGATGAGCCAATACCCGAAACAATCTAGCGGCAAAATCCCTTGCCGCCTGACTTTCTGGATTTTGAATAGAGACTAGCTATGTTTCAGCTACATCTGAAATTTGTTGTATTACAACTATGAGTATAATATTTTGTTACGAAACACAGCCATGTATTTTCTTGTGGCTGACAATTTCATTTTTTCAGCATTCAGAACAGTCAATTAGTTGTTTCAAGCATTTTCGTGGACAATTATTTTTTTAGTAGTACTAACTACACTGGTATAAGAAAAATAAACGTGTTATTTTACACTCTACTCTTCAGGGAAATGTAAATGTTACATCGAAGATAAATTAATAAATATTAAAATCCGTTCATGAATTCATTGTAAATTGTATCTGACTGCAAACTCTTGTTTAAACTCTCGTGTATCTGATTTTTCATACAATGTTTTACTTCAGTGTCGACAACTGTGTTTTATACAAAATATCTACCTTAGTATTTACCACTGACTGCAGATTTTAATGGATGACATCGTATGACACCTGGAGCGGTATTAATATAGTCTTTACTTGTTTACCAATACAGCATCACACATTTTGTGAAAAATATGTTTAAAACAGAAATTTACAAATGCAATTTTCGCATG